AGAGAGAGAGAGAGAGAGAGAGAGATGGTGGCGGGCTGGAGACATAGGGCAAGGCACGTGCGCACGCTGCAAGGCGGGAAGGTCAACTTATGCCGGCGACACGACGATGTAAACTTGCTGTACGGAGCGAAAACACGGATTTCCTTTCTGTTTTTTTCCCTTTCAGCCTACCCGCCAGTTTCCTTGCTACCAGAAAACTGAAGGCCTTCCTGGCGGCCACGGACGAAAAGAAGCCCATGCTGGGCCCCCGCGGGCCCACATAGTTTTTCGAGGCCGCCGCCAGTCCAACCCTGCCCCGACCTTCGCTTTCATCACTGCTGGCGACAAGTTCTTTTTCTGCAAGGCTGGGGCCGTGTACTTGTGGCTTAATAAAAAATTCTGCCAAGTTTCAAGCAATGTGAGGCCCAGCAAAGTTCAGACTTTAGGCTCAGTGGTGCTTTGTTCATACTAAGATGGAATGAAGCGCGGCATTTCTAAGGCTGAGCTAAGCCCGTTGGTCGCTGCTCACCTTTTGCAAATCTGGAGATTGAAGAAAACCCTGCAGCTTCCAGATTGGTCATCCAAATTCTGACACCCTGTGGTAAACACGCCCTTAGAAAAATGAGGTGATGGTTTAAGCTAGAAGATATCAAGGACACCCTCAGAGCGTAGGAGCAACCAGCACTACATCAGCACAATGCTCGGAGCAGCACGAGAGAACACTGACTTCTTCCAGCAGGTCCCACGTCACCATGCTCGGAAAACATCAACTTCAGTTGTATTTGCAACACGTGCACTACGTAATTGCCCAGAGGAAACTGGAGCAGGGTGGCAAGAGGTACTCATTTTGGTAATTACTTTAGTTTGATGATTTAATGTGCACGACCACCACACCTGCACTCCCTTGATTATGTATGGCCTTGTCTTGTCTCCCGGCCATATATGATGATGTGCGGAAACACACATTTTGTTCAAGCACTGTAAACTAAATGAAAAAAGAAAACACTGCGACTTGTTTGTGTGTACAAGAGCAGTTCAGAGCAAATGAAGTCTACCTTTAAGAACAGTGTGAGCAGCTGCCTCTCGACCCGGCAACACATCAACTTCCATGATGAGCTCACCCAACACGTTAACAGCCGCTTCAAACACCTGTGTGTCATGGGAGCCAAGACTTTCCAGCAATGCCAGCAAGAGAGGATTGTAGTCCGTCTGTAGCTCCGATAAAGTGATGCCAGCCTGACGCCTGTCAGATGTTGCCACAGACACCGAAAGAACAGCAGCAGAAGAAAGTCACACCCCAGATTTCACACCTCAGCACCTGGTGGCATCCCCCTCGAGACATGGGGGTAGAGGGAGAAGCTAGAGAGACAGAGAGAGCGATAGAGCAAGAGAGAGAACGCGAGAGAGCGAAAGCGAGAGAGCGAGAGAGCGAGAGAGCGTGAGAGCGAGAGCGAGAGAGCGTGAGAGCACAAGAGCGAGAGCGAGAGCGAGAGCGAGAGCAAGAGAGCAAGAGAGCAAGAGAGCAAGAGAGCAAGAGAGCGAGAGAGCGAGAGAGCGAGAGAGCGAGAGAGGGAGAGAGATCAAGAGCGAGAGAGAGCGAGAGAGAGCGCAAGAGCGAGATCCAGAGAGAGAG